AGAGAAGGCGTCAGTGATCTCCTTCAGAGACAGTCAGTGAGTATTGGAACAAGAAGGAACAGAGAAGAGAATGTGGGTTCCGGGCTTTAGTTTCAGAGTAGCGATTTTGAGACAGTCCCATGTTTATTTGCCTAGGAAGGTGATGTCTCTGTACTTTGAAAGTACTTTAGTTTTCACCGAGATCCTCTGACTCCCTTCTCTCACCATTTGGAACCTAGAGCCTCCCTCCAATAAGGGTTATTTTTCAGAAGACTCTCCAACTCGTCTTCACTCTTCCCTATCAGTTGGAGGCTCCTGTTAGAATTCCTGCATCCGTACGTTGCTCGACTAGCTACTCAATGAAAATCCATTATGCACACTGTATTTTCGATTTTGTTCCTACTATGAGGAGCTTTTTTCTAGGATATTCCCAAACTCTTTTTGGTCACAGGTTTGACTCACTGGTAGCTGGTATTCAAATTCTCTTGCATTGTTGCTGTTATTCTGTTGCATCCACGATATCATCTGCAATTGATGTAATTATTTCTGCTATTTCTTTTTGGCTTATTACTAACCTCTTTAAGTGCTCAGAAGAATGATGGAAGATGAAGTAGGTTGGCTTGGCGTATTTATGAATTTAACACACATTTTAGTATTTTCTATTTTTGGATTTATTAACGTTTCATTTTATAATCCACCTTATTATAACTGAGAGAAAGTTTTAGTGTTTTAATGTAGCATAGCCTTTTGGCTTTTATTTTAAAAGGTTTTTGTCATAGGATGTGTGTGAAAGAGACAGGAAAAGTGGGAAAGTGAGAAATACCACGTCTACCAGGGAATGGCCACACCACAACCCCTTGTCCTCCATTCTCCTCCTGGCGTTTTGGGTATGCATGCACATGCACTTGGTAGGGTTTTCAAGCAGCCAGGTTCAGGACTTGAACTGTAGTCAGCCATGTGGGAATCCAACACCTTAACCACTATGCTACCTACTGACCCAGTTTTAAACAACAGTTTTTTTTATGGTTAAGAAATTGTCCTTGGCTTCCTCATTTACCAAGAGGCTTGCCCTGGCTGCTAAGCACTGTAACGGCTGTTAAATTTTCTCAGATGCATGCATCCTATTCTGTTTATGTTATTGATGTCTCTTTATTGTTTTTTTTTTTTTTTCCTGATAGAATGTTCTAAAATATACTTACTATTAAACCAGCTTCCTCTTCCTAGAGGAGGTATTGCTTGCTCATGATGTATTTTTAAAAAGAATGATTTGATTTAACTTTATTTAATTTGACCAGAGAGGGACAGAGTGAGAGTAAGAGAGAAGTAGTGGAAAAGTGATAAAGCAACCTGCCAGGTCCAGAACTTGAACCACATCGACCATGTTGGAGTCCAGCGCCCTTAATCACCATGCTATCTGCTGGCCCTGTTCATGATCTTTATGATTATTTTTAAAGAGAATTCTTTCTTTTTTTTTTTCAGTCTGTTATATTCAATCACAGTATATCTTTACAACATTAAAAAATGAATTTTCCCAACGTGAATACCTTGTATGTTAGTCTAGTCAAAGAAATGACCATTGTCATCAACAGATAATTTTCGATTTTTTTTCTGTTAAATGTTTTGCCTTTGTTTTTTCTTTGATTCCCTCCCTCCCCTACCCCCATTTCCCACTCTTCTGCTGCCTGCCCTTGGTAGCCACAGTTGCTCTCCATGCTTTTATGCCTTCAAGTATTTTTAACATTTTTTTCTTTATTTAAGAACAAATTAACACCAGTTTAATGTATTTTAGATATATAAAGTGGGGACATACAATGCTTCTTTCATGGTCTGACTTGCTTCGCTTAGCATTAAATCCTCCATATTCATCCACTTTCTATCAAACGCCAGGGTCTCATTTCTTTTTATGGCTGAGTAGTATTCCATAGAGTATATGTGTTACACTTTTCCAATCCATTCATCTGTGCTTGGACATTTGGGTTGATTTCATGTCTTAACAATTGTGAATAATGCTGCTATAAACATGGATGTACAAGTGTTTTTCTGACTGAGTGTACTCCTATCCTTTGGGTAGATATTCCCCAATAAAATAGATAGATAAAAATGCATTTTAATTATTTTATTATTCAATTTTGTATTTATTTTTCAGGTATGCAATAAGCTTGATTTCTTTCATGTGTTAGTTTATCCATTTGATCTCCATCTTGACTCTACATCCAACATTTGCATTTGTTCATAATTGCATTTGTTCATAATTGCATTGCCTATAATTACACAGGCACCATGTAAGTCCCTGGAAAAACAAAGGTTGTGCCAACCTCAGACCCCTCCCCCACAAAAAAATCCCATTACTAATGTAAGAGGGATGTTACAGAATAGCACAGGATGCTCTGCTTCACACACTCTGTCACTCCTGACCTCTACTCTCTGCCTTCTCTTGCACTGGCCGCTCAAGTCCCCTCCATAACCAAGCTCACTGACCCCAGACCAATCTTACATTTTGTTTCCTTAGCCTGGAAGGTTTATTCTTTCCTTATGAACAACGATTAATAATGATTAGTCCTTTTTTCCCTGATGGAGAATGATTCATCTATCCTTTCTCAGATCAAATGCTCCTGTTTCAGAAAAAAAAACCTCTCTGAGTCACCTTCCCATACTAAATTAATAGCCAGTGATTTTTTTTCTCTTTACAACCATCTGTAGATATTAATAATTTTGACTTTTCTTCTTTCATGGAGAGTGTTAATATGTAGTTTCTTAAACAAATCTTAATTTTTTTTTTAGAGAGAGAGTATTTTACTATAGGGCATGTGTGCTCACTGGACAGACAGAGACAGAGAGACAGAAAGTGAGAAATCACCCTCTGGGGGAATGGCCACACCATAATCCCTTCTCCTCCAGTCTCTTCTTGGGATTTTGGGCATGCATGCACAAGTGCCTGGTGTGAATTTTAAGCCACCAGCTGTGGGATTCTAACTGGAGTAGAGTACCTGGGAGTTCAGTCATGGAACCATTATACCATCTGCTGGTTCCCAAATCTTAAATTAAGAAAAAAAATTCTATGATGATTTTACTATTAAAAGCTTTTATTTATTTATTTATTTATTTAATTTTATTTTTTTCTGTAGGGTGCATTCTCTTTCCAGAGAGAAAGAGAGAGAGAGAAGGTGAGAAAGCACCTCCAGGGAGATAGCCATGCTGCAGTCTCTTCTCTTCCATTCTCCTGTAGGGATTTTGGACATGCAGGTACAGACGCCTGGCATGTTTCTCAGAACTGCCAGTTAAGCCACACAACTGGCCATGTGGGATCCTGCCACCTTAACCACAATGATATTGGCGGTCTGAAAAACTTTGACTATTTCAGATCAAATCCATCAATCATATTTTTTGACAATTAAGTCTGCTGATTTTGAAATACTATAACCCCACGCGAGAGCACGTGCACACTAGCACACATACGTATACATACCCTGTCTATTTGACGTTAATGTGTATTTTTGTTTCCTTCTCCTTTCTGTTTAGTTAATGTGCTTTTTACTTTCCCTGGAAGAACTCATCTGATGGGCATCCTCTGGAGGAAGGATCCAGAAGGATCTTCGTTAATTAGAAGTGCTGCATGGCTGTCCAAAGAGGTAACAGACCTGTTGAATTTATGATGATTGAGGTTTTCCCTAGTGAAGAGGGATATTGAGGGACTTATAGGACCCCCCACATGGCTGATCGTGGCTTGAGTCCCAGACCTGACAGCTTGCTTTTTCACTCTCACTCCCCTCTTTTTTTTGGCTTAAAAAAAAAAGTAAAAAGAACAAACTTAAAGAAAAATATAGCTAAATGTTTACCCACATCTCCATTGGGAGGTGAACTTACAGACAACTGAATCTCAACAAAAACTTGTCAACTTTCAAAAAAAAAAAGTAAAGAAAAAAAGAGAGAGATTGATAAATGATAGCCATCCAAGACAGATTTATCATGATGTTAACAATGGGAGCTCTCATTTATCAAATTCACTATGTGTCATTGGTACCACCCAAGAATAATTACATGCATTCTCTAATCTAATTCCCTCTCCAACCTTGCCTCCTCTCCAAAGGTTTTTGCCGTAGAACATGTGTACTTGCGTGCGTGTGAGAGAGAGAAAGAGAGAGAGAAAGTGAAAAATCACCTCCCAGGGGGATGGCCATGTTGCAATTCCTTCTCTTTCATTCTCCTACTGGGCTAAAACTGTGGTCAGCCACGTGGGAGTCCAGCTTCATAATAATTATGACGTCTGCTGGTCCCTCAATTTTGAACTTTTTGATGTAGAAAGTAGACATAAAAAAACACTTGAAATGTCTTCAATTATCCTGGAAGGGTCATATAAAAGAGGAAATTGGTTAGTATCCATAAATTCAAATAAGAGAATTAGGTTCAGTGAATAGAAAGTAAATACATAGACATTTGTGCCTAGTCAAAAAAAATCAGAATAATTATACACATTTAAAAATTGATAAGACATGGAACCAACCCAAATGTCCACAAACAGATGAATGGATTGGAAAAGTCTGGCACATATACTCTACGGAATACCACTCAGCAATAAAAAAAAAAAAAAAAAAACCCCTGGCGTTTGATAGAAAGGTCTGGAGACAATATAAGAGGAGGGTGGGAGAAGGGGGAGAGTGTAAGGAAGGAAATTACAGAGGAAAATAGAGAGGCAGGACATTTATGGGGCACAGAAGTGGGTTATTACCTGTTGATGATAATGTGTTTAGTATCCTCAATTGGGCTGACGTGAAGTGTATTCCTGTTGGGTAAATTCAACTTACCAGCAAAGTGATTTATAGTGATTAAATGCATAAAATAAAAAATATAATAATAATATAGAATGAGCTACCACACAGCTGAACAAATCACTGTTTGAAGGACTCAAATAGCGGGTGAAAGACGTCCACCTGAGGGGGATCTTACAAAGTAAGAACTAGCTGAGATGCAGTTGGCTGTCACTGGGTGTTGCTTTTGTCTCCTTCTTCAGCAGACACATCTACATGGAAGTAGAAAACCACACAGAACATTCAGGATTTCTCCTTTTGGGCCTCTCAGGGGATCTCAAGCTGCAGCCCCTTCTCTTTGGGCTGTTCCTGTCCATGTACCTGGTCACCATGTTGGGAAACCTGCTCATCATTCTGGTCATCACCTCTGACTCCCACCTGCACACCCCCATGTACTTCTTCCTCTCCATCCTGTCCTTTGTAGACATCTGTTTTGTCTCCACCACCATCCCGAAGATGCTGGTGAACATCCACACACACAGCAGAGACATCTCCTATAGAGGGTGCCTCACTCAGGTGTATTTTTTTATGATCTTTGCTGGTATGGACAATTTCCTACTGACAGCAATGGCCTATGACCACTTTGTGGCCATCTGTCACCCCCTGCACTACATGGTCATCATGAACCCCCGCCTCTGTATCCTCTTGGTCCTGATATCCTGGTTCATTATATTTTGGGTGGCTTCAATTCACATTCTACTGATAATGAGGCTGACTTTCTCTATAGTCACTGAAATCCCCCACTTCTGTGAAGTGACTCAGATTTTCAAAGTGGCTTGTTCTGATACCCTTATCAATAACATCTACTTGTATGTGACAACTGCCCTGGTGGGTGTCGCTCCTGTTGCCGGGATCCTCTACTCTTATTCTCAGATCGTCTTTAGTTTAATGAAGATGTCCTCCACTGCAAACAAGCTTAAGGCATTTTCTACCTGTGGTTCTCACCTGTGTGTGGTCTTTTTTTTCTATGGGACAGCATTTGGGGTCTACCTCAGTTCTGCCGTAACCCACTCTTCCCAGAGCAGCTCCATTGCCTCAGTGATGTACACTGTGGTCACCCCCATGCTGAACCCCTTCATCTACACCCTGAGGAACAAGGACGTGAAGGGGGCCCTGGAGAGACTCCTCAGCAGGGCAGCCTCCAGTCTATGCTGGATCGTCGATCTCAGAACGAAGTGGACATTGTGAGCTCCTGTGGCAATTGATGTGAATTTATGTATCTCAATCTCTTTTTTCTTTTCTCTCCTAAAATAAACACAGGCCATTTTTCTATTCTTAAAGTGTATATACCTCCTTGTGACAACTCCCTCGATAATTTTTTCTTTCTTTTTTTTAAAATTTTTAAATCGATTGATAACATTGTATGTTACTTATTTATCTTACCAAGTGCAAATGACGTTTTAAAGTATCTATGCATTATGGGATGGTTAAACCTAGCAAATTAACAAATGGTGGGACCAGCAGTTAGCGTAATGGCTATGTCGCTGGACTCCCACGTAGTCGACCGTGGTTCCAGTCCCGGACCCGGTGGCTTAAACTCACGCCGGGCGCGTGTGCGTGCATGCCCAAGATCCCCAGAGGAGAGTGGAGGAGAAGGGATTGCAGCGTGGCCATCCCCCCTGGGGGGTGATTTCCTGCTTTCTGTCTCTCTGTCTCTCTCTGTCTGTCTGGCGAGTGCACACGCCCTATAGCAAAAATCTCTCAAAAAACAAACAAACAAACAAACAAAAAACAAAAACAAATGGGTTCCCTCACCTAGTAATCCTATTTATGGTGAGAACACTTAACTCCTTTTTTTGTTTGTTTTTAGAGGGCATTTTTTTTTGTTTGTTTGTTATAGGGTGTGTGCACTCATCAAAGAGACAGAGAGGGACAGAAAGCAAGAAATCACCCACCAGGAGGTATAGCCACGCTGCAGTCCCTTCTCCTCCATTCTCCTCTTGGGATTTTGGGCACAAACACACACACACACATATGCCCTGAGTGAGTTTCAAGCCATTGAGTCTGGGATTTGCACTGTGGTTGGCCACATGGGAGTCCAGTGATGTAACCATTATGTCATCTGCTGGTCCTGAGAACATGTAACTCTTTACATTTGTTAAGACTATGAGATGTATTCATGAACTGTGGGATACATCACCCATATGTATTTTTTCATGGTCCTTCACCAGTTTGTGGCCTTCTGTCACCCTCTGCACTAACCAGTCATCATGACGTGTTGCTTCTGCAATATGGAGTTCTCGTGTTCTGGTTCTTGAGTTCATCATGGTTCCTGACCCAGAGTCTGTGGATGCTGTAACTATCCTTCTCCACTGATTGGGTAGTTTAGCTCAGGGCTTAACCCTGGCCAGCCTGAACACACATGTCAATCGCATACTCCTGTACCTGGTGAGCAACTTTTTTGACATTGTTTTCTTCTCAAGAATTCCTTTCTCCTATACTATACCAAGTGGTCTCCTCTATTCTTAGAACCTCAGTGACTGATGGACAATATAAAGCTTTTTCTACTGTGGTCTCATGTCTGTGGTGTCTTTATTCTGTGGCATGGGCTTTGGTGTGTACCTCCATTCACATGCATCCTCCTTTCCCTGCAAGGGCATGGTTACCTCAGTGTTTTACCCATGCTGAAACCCTTCATCTATAGAGTTGATGGAAATAACTACATTCTGTAAACATATTCTTGGTTGTATTTCTTTATTTATTTCTATAGGACATCTTTGCTTTGCAGAGAGAGATAGAGACAATAGTAGGGAAAAGATAGAGAGACAGAAAGCAGGTAATCACCCCCCCCCGGGGGGGGGGAATGGCCACATTGCAATCCCTTCTCTTCTATCCTTCTCTCGGGACTTTGGGGACACAAGCATCCATATGTGCTTGGCATGAGTTTCAAGCTGCCAGCTCTGGGACTCAAACCATAGTCAACCACGTGGAGTCCAGAACCTTAACCACCCTGCCACCTGCTGGCTCAATATAAAAATATTCTTTAAAGGTTTATTCATAGCAAAAGTAAGAGTGACCGTGTACCCTAATACAATCTCTGGTTGTCCTGAGAAAGTATTCTCGGGGATTAGATACTGCAGTGTCTTTCTTTAGTTCTGAGAGCAGGAAGTATGAGCAAAACTGAAAATCAACACACATGGAGTTTTCATCCTGGTCTGGCCCCCAAATGTGGAACATCTAGAAGCAGGGGCTTACAGGTTATAGATGGGTTCAGAAATTCTTAGGTTAGGGCTGGCAGGTGGCATGATGGCTAGGGTGCTAGACTCCCACATGGCTGACCGCAGTTCGAGTCCTGTACCTGGTGACTTTCTTTCTTTCTCTCTCTGGTCAAATTGAATAATAATGATAGTAATACATAAAATTAAATGAATAATTCTCAAAAGAAAAAAAATTCTTATGTTAGTAAATGGTTAAAAAGCACAAGTCTTGGACCAGCAGATAGAAGCTATTGATTTTTTTTTTTTTTGAGAGTTTTTGGTATAGGGTGTGTGTGCTTGCCAGAGAGACAGAGAGAGACAGAGAGACAGAAGTTGATAAATCACCCTCCGGGGGGATGGTCATGCTGCAATCCCTTCTTCTCCATGTTTCTCTCAGGATTTTGGGCACGCACCCACATGTGCCTGGCATGAGTTTTAAGCCACTAGGTCCGGGACTGTAACTGCGGTTGACTACATGAGAGTTCAGTGATGTAACCATTATGCCATCTGCTGGTCCCACTATTGCTATCTTTACAAAGGTTTTTTGTTATAGGGCACTTGCGCTCACCGGAAAGAGACAGAGTGACAAAGGGAGAGGGAAAGTGAGATCGAAAGTGAGAAGTAACTCCCCAGGGAGGATGGTCATGCCACAAACCCTTCTCCTCATTCTCCTCTCAGGATTTTGGGTGTGCACACATACGCCATCTGCTGGCCCCAAGTGTACAAAAATTTATTTAGACATAATGAATAAAGATGTTGAAGACATCTATTGTCCATCATGATCAGTGTAGTTAATAATAATAAATTATATTTTTGACCAAAATAGAACACATGTGTCTGATAAAGGTCAATGATCTAGAATATTAAAAAAAAAGTCTTATGGGGCCAGCAGGTGGCATGGTGGTTAAGGGTGCTGAACTCCCACATGGCTGGTTAAGGGCAATGGACTCCCACAAGCCTGACTGTGGTTCGAGTCCCAGACCTGGCATCTTGCTTTCTTACTTTCCCCCCCTCTCTCTTTCTCACACACACATACACTCTATACTTTTCTGGTCAAATTAAAATAAATAAATAAATAAATAAAGTTGAAATAATTCTGTAAAGAAATCTTACAGGTCAGAATAAAAAATACTAACTACACAATTGTGAAATGAGTAGACTTGAGAGGACTTCTGCACAGAAGATATACAAATAGCCAGTAAGTACATGAAGGGAGAGGCAGCACTCACCCTATGGCCAAAAACAAACCAAAATAAAAACCATAAAAAGATACCTAATTAATTATTAGGTAAATACAAATCAAAACCATAATGAGATACCATTTCACACCTACTGTGTGTGTGTGTGTCCACATGAATTTTTTTAAACAGGAAAAGTAGGTACTAAAAGTCTCATACAGGGGCTGACAGGTGGCATAGTGGTTAAAGGCACTGGACTCTCACATGGCTGACCATGGTTTGAGTCCTGGACCTGGTGGCTTGCTTTCGTTCTCTCTCTGGTCAAATTGAAAAAAGATCATAATAAATAAAGTTAACTAAAACAATTCTTTTAAAAAAGGTCTCATACATTTCAGAGAGTAGAAAATGTAGTGCTTGCTATGTAAGACAGTTCTGTGATTTTTTTAGAACGTAAACATACAATGGCCATATGAACCAGTGGTCCCACTACAAGTATATTCCCCAAATAAATGAAAACAGAGAGTCAAGCAAGTAAATGTACATTCATATTCATAGCACATTATTCGCCATAACCAAAGATGGAAATATCTCCAATTTTCATCAATGAACGAATCAATAATCAATTGGGGAATATACATACAGTGTAATATTATTCAGCCATGCAGAGAGATGGGGCAAGTTAATATTAACCAGTAAAATATCTAAAAGAAAGGAAAGATGGAAATAAGAAGGGATGAGGAAAGAAGGAAAAGAAGAAAGGACAAAAAACATGTACCACTGGGACCAGCAGGTGGCGTGGTGGTTAAGGGCACTGGACTCCCACATGGCTGACTATGGTTCAAGTCCTGGACTTGGCAGTTTGCTTTCTCACTCCTCCCTCCCCCTCTCTCATTCTGTACTTCTCTGGTCAAATTAAAATAAATAAGTGAAAGTAAGTAAGTTAAATAAAATAACTCTGTAAAAAACAAACAAACAAACAAACAAACAAGGATCACAAAGAATGAAGCAACATCTCAGAGTTATCCTAGGCAGGATATCTCTATAAAGATTGTGAATGAACCAGCTTTGAAATCTAGATTCCAGATTTCCTTTTGAAAATCACATCTCTGTTTTCATGAAAAGGAGATCAGGAGATTTAAGAGTGCAGAGTACGCATCAGGTTGCAGATTATAATGATTGCAACTCAGTCTCTTCCCTCAAGAGCTGGGTTAAATGAGGGAAAATATCTCAAAGGAATGTTTCCAGAATTAAACAAAGACATACATGGAAAGTAACCAGCACAATTCTGATATGATTATTATATGTTTTTATTCTATTTTTTTCCACAGAAAACAAGGACATAACAAAACTATAGGAAAAATATCAATATCAGAGAGGATAATTTTTGAGGAAACTAGGCCGGCACTTTGATATGATAAGTGCTTTAAATATCAGATTAGAGATCTCAGAAGGACCAGAAGTTGGTGTGGTGGTTGAGAGGCTGGACTCCCACATGGCTGACCATGTTTCGAGGCCCAAACCTGGTGTCTTGCTTTCTCACTTTCCCTCTCTCTGTCTCTCTCTCTAGTAAGTGCATGCACCCTATAGCAGGTTAAAATTAATAAAATAAAATAAAATAATAAAAAATTAAAAAAAAAGAAATCTCAGTAAAAATTTCATGAAAACCTCTAAAAACCTGACTTCCTAGGTTAAAATTAATAAAATAAAATAATAAAAAATTTAAAAAAAAAAAGAAATCTCAGTAAAGATTTCATGAAAACCTCTAAAAACCTGACTTCCTGGAACATGTTTAGATTAAAAAAAAAAGTTAAAAAGAAGTTACCAAGAGACTTACAGATGGTTGTATTGCTGAATTCCCATGTAGTCAACCACAGTTTGAGTCCCGTGCCCGGTGGCTTAAAACTCACGCCAGGTGTGTGTGTGCATTGCATGCCCAAATCCCTAGAGGAGAACAGAGGAGAAGGGATTGTGGTGTGGTCATCCCCCTGGGGCATGATTTCTTGCTTTCTCTCTCTGTCTCTCTAGTGAGTGCATGTGTCCTATAGCAAAAATCTCTATTAAAAAAAAAAAAGAAAAAAATAACCACGGAAGATTTTTAAAAATAATTATTTCATTTTAACTTTATTTATTATTATTTGACAATATGACCAGACACACACACACACACACACACAGACACACAGGCAAAGTGAGAATGGAAGCCACCAGGTCTGAGACTCGAACCATGATTGACTGTGTGGGAATCCAGTGCCTTTAACCTCTACACCACCTGCTGGCCACAGCAAGGAAGTTTTTGAGAAGAAGCAAATACAAAACCTTATAATAGCAAGGTCATAAATGCTTTGAAAATAGAAAATATGAAGCATGCCATTTAGGGGAAAAATAGCCAGGATAATTCACTTCACCACAGTTGTCTTATAAGTCCACTCCCTGCACTTATCTCTGAGGTCAATGATCCATCATAAACAAGAGACTTCTCTGGTAAGGAGCCTTCCCAGGGCCCCCTTCACATCCTTGTTCCTCAGGGTGTAGATGAAGGGGTTCAGCATGGGCGTGACCACGGTGTACATCACTGAGGCGATCGAGCTTCCCCGGGAAGAGTGGGTCATGGCAGAACTGAGGTAGACCCCCATTGCTGTCCCATAGAACAAGGAGACCACGCAGAGGTGAGACCCACAGGTGGAGAAAGCTTTATACTTGCTGGCGGTGGAGGACATCTTCATTAAAGAGGAGACAATCTTAGAGTAAGAGTAGAGGATCCCGGTGACAGGAAACATACACACCAGTGCCGTTGTTACATATAAGTAGATATTATTGATGAGAATATCAGAACAGGCCAGTTTGAGAATCTGAGCCAGCTCACAGAAGAAATGTGGAATTTTGGTGCCTCTAGAGAAGGTTAGATGTGTTATCAGCAAAATGTGAACCAGGGAGATACAGGAAATAATAAACCAAGACATTAGAACCAGGAGAACACAGAGGCGGGGGTTCATGATGACCGTGTAGTGCAGGGGGTGACAGATGGCCACAAACCGGTCATAAGCCATCACGGTCAGTAGGAAATTATCCAGTCCACCTAATATCATGAAAAAATACATCTGAGTGAGGCACCCTTTATAGGAAATGTCTCTGCTGTGTGTCTGGATGTTCACCAGCATCTTCGGGACCGTGGTGGAGGTGAAACAGATGTCCACAAAGGACAGGTTGGAGAGGAAGAAGTACATGGGGGTGTGCAGGTGGGAGTCAGAAGTGATGGTCAGGATGATGAGCAGGTTCCCAAGCACGGTGACCAGGTACATGGACAGGAACAGCCCAAAGAGAAAGGGCTGAAGTTCTGGATCAGCTGAGAGGCCCAAGAGGAGGAATTCTGAACCCTCTGTGTAGTTTTCTGCTTCCATGTAGCTGGCGTGTCTGTTGGGAAGAAGGTCAAAGCAGTGTTCAATGGACAGTTAGCGGCACCTCAGGTAGCTTTCACTTTATATGATCACCCTTGGAAGGACATCCTTCACTCTTAGAGAGTCCTTCCAATGACTGACATTCACTCAGAGAATCCTTCCAATGATGGACATTCACTCGGTCAAGTGGTTGTCCATTTCCGTTGTAAATATGTAGAGTTATTCAGACTATCTTCATTTTAAAAAGTTTTTAATTTAAAAAATATTTATTTATTTATTTATTATTCTTCCTCAATTTCATGAGAGAGAGAGAAAGTGGCCAGAGTTGAGACTTAAACTACACTTGGCCATGTGGGAGTCCAGCACCTTAACCATCATGCCACCTGCTGGCCCCCCAGACTATCTTTAAAAGAGCAGAAATTGGGACCAGTAGATGGTGTGTAATGGTTATGTCGCTGGATGCCTATGTAGTTGACCGTGGTTTGAATCCCAGACCCAGAGACTTAAAACTCACGTCAGGCGTGTGTGCGTGCATGTCCAAGATCCTGCGAGGAGAATAAAAGAGAAGGAATCGTGGTGTGGCCATCTCCCTGAGCAGTGATTGATCACTTTCTGTTCTCTCTCTGCCATCTAGCAAAAATCCCCACACTCCCCCCCCCCAAAAAAAAAAAAAGAGCAGAACTCTCACTGTTTTTATCTTCTATTCACTTGTTCTAATTCTCCTATTTGAATCTAAGGACAAAAACCAATTTCTTCTGATATAACTTCCAAAATAATTGTAAGTATTTTAAAACCATTTTCTTGACAATCCCCATCTTGCCTTAATTCTGTTAGGTCTATAATAGTGAATAAAACATAGATTTTCAACCCAAATAACCTTTATTCCATGATATGACAGCTCCTAGTGATGTAACAGTTACCCTCAGTGCCTTCCTGATTTCTTTAAAAAAAAAAGTGATTATTATTATTATTATTATTAACTACTTTATGATTATTTAAAATGCCTTGGTGCACAGTAGTATTTCAATTATGATAAGTATTGTCACTATTAAGAGGGAGTCCAGTGACCTTAACCTCTACGTCACCTGCCGGCCCCTCACATACATCTTTACAGTGTACAAAATATATTTTACAGCGTAAATGCAGTGCATATCAATCAAATCAAAGATATTACCATATACATTATCATCAACAGATTGATTTTTCCATCATGTATCTGTTAAAATTTCCCCCCCTGATCCCTTCCTCCCACTTGCTGTTACACACACCCTCTTATGCTGTCTCTGGCATCTTCAGTTGTCCTTCATTTTTCAGTTTCTGCCATAGAGTGCAGATATTAGGTATATATTAAGTGGGGACAAACAATGTCTCTCTTTCATAGTCTGCCTTGCTTTGCTTAGAATGAAACCTTCCATATCCATCCATTTTGAATCAAATGGCTGCAGAACTCCAGCTTGTTGGATCTTGGGGCACTTGTGTGTGTGCCTGGCATGTTTCACATTGACTGGGCTGGGGATTCAAACCGGGGTCACCAGGTGGAATCTCACATCTCTTGAACAGTGCGTTAGTGCTACGTCATGGAACCAGCCTAGTATTTTCTGAAGTGCATCCATCTGTTATGAGGGAGAAAGGGAAGGACAGAAAAAGAGAGAGAAACATACCCCAACAAGGTCTCACTGCTGTGACCCACCTCTCAGTCTAAGTCAACTGGGTAGTAGGCACAACCATGTCCAACACACTAAAGGAGATCTCTGGTTGCTAATCTACAACCTTCCTGGGTGAGTCAGGGTTTCAGAGCATCACATCTTTACTTTAAAAAAATTTTTGACAGTTTTTTGTTGAGACCAGCAGATTGTGTAGTTGTTACGTTGCTGGACTCCCATGTAGTCAACTGGTTCAAGTCCCAAACTCGACAGCTTTAAACTTACACTGAGTGTGTGTGTGTGTGTGCATGCATGCCCAAAATCCTGAGAGCAGAATGGAAGAGAAGGGATTGAGGCGAATCCATCCCCCCTGGGGGGGGGTGATTTCTCACTTTCCATCTCTCTGTCTCTCCAGTGAGCACACGTGTCCTATTGCAAAAAACTCTCTCAACTCTCTCTCTCAAAAAAAAAAAAATTGTTTTTTTTTTTTTTGTTATAGGGCACATGTGCTCACTGGAGAGACAGTGAGAAAGAAAGTAAGAAATCTCCACTCACCCTTAGGGTGATGACCATGGCTCAATTCCTTCTCCTGCATTCTTCTCCTGAGATTTGGGCACTCACACACATAGTCCTCCAGGTCTAGGACTTGTACTGCAGTTGGCCATGTGGGAGTCCAGTGTGTTAATCATCATGCCACCTGCTGGCCTCAAGCATCATGTTTTTACCATTGAGCCACCATCTTAGCCCCTCGGTCATTGTTAATCAGGGAAAGTAAGGAAAGAATAGACATTGTAGGCTAAGGGAACGGAATTCCAGCTTGCCCTGTGGGTCAGTGAGCTTGGAGGGGAATTAAGAAGCCAATTAAATGTAGAGCAGAGAACGAGGGTTGGGGAAGACAAAGTGGATGAGTCCCACAGCAGAGCATCCTGTCTCTCTCACATCACTAAATCTATGTTTATTTGTGGGTCTGTTGCTGGGATAGTGGTGGCTCATTGTCTGTCACAGCAGAGATGGTGCCTGTGGCATTGGAGGTGCTAGAAAAACGCAAATGTTAGATGTAATTAAGTCTGAGATTGAGCCAGCAGATGGCATGGTGGTTGAGGCTCTGGATTCCCACATGGCCAACGGCAGTTGGAGTCCTGGACTTGGTGGCTTGCTTTCTCACTTTGCTACACTCTCTCTGGTGATCACATGTGCCCGAGAACAAATAAAAAAAATATAGAATAATAACTAAAATTAAATAATAATTAAAA